CACCGTGTCACACTGCTAGAAACACCCAAAAGAGTTCAGGAAGAAAATAGGTATCCAGAAGTTGCCCTGGCCGAGCCAATCTCTTGACATGAACCCCATCGAAAACCTCTGGGCCATACTCGACCAGCAAGTCAAGAAACAACAACAACAAAAAAAAATTTCGAATAGCAATCTACTCCAAGTTTTGAAGCAAGAGTAGGCAAAAATCCCACAATCTAAAATTGATGAGATGATTCTCACGATGCCCCAAAGGATCATCGAACTCCAAGAAGCGAAAGGAAGATCTACTAGATATTAATTAAATTATAAATATATCATTTTATGTAAATATGACTGAAAAATTTCATTTTTTCTGAAAAGATGGTGTCTATTTACTTGTGATCACGCTGTGTATATAAATGTATAATGTTATGAGATCTAAAATATTTTGTCTGAACATTGATGTTTTTGTGTTATAATTTGTGTTTATTTCCTAATTTTTTATGGTGGTTTCAAGATTGTTCAAATCTACCAAACCCGTACAGAGATTAATTACTGAAAATAACAGATTAAATATAGTTTTTTTCTTAAGAAACGTTTGATAACTATCCAGACATCATAAAGATTTCGCTTGTAAAATTTCGAACTTTTCTGATGAAAAAGTATTTTTAATCTTAAAATGAAAATTACTTTACATGATAGATAGGCAACATGTGAAAAGAAAAAAAAGGCATAAGAGAAACATTGCTTTACAAACCTCAAGACTTAATAACAAAGATATTTTGCATATAAAAGCATTGTAATGTTTACTGATAATCTGCCAAATTTCGTTAACATTCGCTTACTAATTTAAAAGTTATAGCATGAAAACTATAAGAAGCACAAAATGGTTACAAGGTCATCACATTGACCGACCCCGTATTGAAAGAGTTAACCTTAAAATGTGGTTCCTTAGCTGCATACAATGAGAACTTAGAAAATGCATTCTTAGAAAGTTCATTCACTATATCCAAAGATACTGAAAAACCAGTTCTAGTTGTGAACATATATCAATAGTCTCTTGTAGCTGGATATTAGTATAAAACATTGAAACTGGCTATCTATGCATTCTCACGAAATTTTAAACACTGTACTGGGGTAAAGAAAAAAAATCATCTTTCTTTAACAGCAAACTTATTAATCATAAACTTGTGAAGGAAATTCACCAACAGAAACCTCACCATTTACAATTTTAAGTGCTAATATTTGAAACCAGTTGTATTGGAGGAATTTCTAGTTTATGAATTTTGTGCAAACCATTCATTATTCAAGCATGAAAACAAATTTATCTAATTTACTTGTGCACACATTTATAACAACAATAAGTATCATTTTAGTTTTGTTTCCAATGTAGACATAGGATCTTTATTCAAATTCAGTGCATACTATAATTTAGTATATATTTAATTTCTTAATACATTATTCTGAACTATTAGCTTAATTCTTTTTTATAATTAATACTTGAAACCATTGGTATGTGGTTGAGGAAATTGAAAACAATTGTATTATTCACAAATATTTTATTTATTGCTAGCATGGTTTCACCAGTAAAGAAATTGTTGGGCACACATGAAATATTTGTGAAACGTACAATTCTCTATGTTTTTTCTAATATTATTTTATTCTCTGGTTTTGTTATAACTAAATCAGTACACTTTCCTAGTTCAGTAAGAGCTTGATATTCTTCTTGAAATGTGTTGTAGGATTTCCTTCCTGAATTATAATTGTAAAAGGAAGACAGTGCCAGCTACTGATATCAGTTCTCACTGTATCAAAGATACTGTGAGAACTGATTTGACATTACTTTAGATGCCTTAACAGAACTTCAGAATAAGGAAATAGTTTTCAAGTTGTAATGATCTGGGGACAAGTTCATGTGCTAATGCTCTATTTTTACCATTTCATTATGTTTGTAAGTAGAAAGATTAAAAATGAACAATATAATTAGGTTTATTTATAAATAAGTTCTCATATTTTGTGTGTGACAGAGTTGGTTTAATTTACGCAATTGAATAATTTTACATTGTGTTCACCCATTGTTACATTTTTCTCAATTATGTAATTTCTTAAAATAAAAATCCATTTTATTAACAAAAATATTTTTACTAACTTTTTAGGCATGACTTCCATAATACTTATTCTATGGAGAAATAATGAGTAATATGGGTCTTTATATGAATAGTTAGAATTAGTGACGTTTATTATTATGCTTTTTGAAATAAAGTTGTATTTTAACATTATGTTAGGGCAAGATAAGATTATTACAAATATACAAGTTTTAAAAATTTCAAAGGCAAAATTGCATCATAATATGTCCAGAAGCATTCTAAAACTAATTATTTGTACAGTGTGTACTTTTTTGTTGAATGATAGCAGAAGTTTCATTTCATAAATCATTTTTGTCTGGAACTCTATTCAAAATATCAATATTTTTGTATTTAGGGTTAACTTTATTAAATACCATTACTGTACTTACTGACTTGTTTTTAGTTCTTTGAAAATACTAAATAATATTGAAAACACATCAAATCTTATTTAAAATTACTTTTAATAAAAATTCACATCAGTATTTCCTTATCTACTGTAGCCAGAGTCTAAACTAAGGTGAAAATCTTAACATTTTGTTTTAAATTCTTGTTCAAGTTAATTGTTATTTACAGCACAGAATTGCTATATAAAACTGGCAAATTACTACTTTTAGGTTGCACTCTTACAACTGTTAGTGCAACTGGTGTACAGATAAATCCAGATATTAAAGAGGCTCATGCCCTCAGAGGATGGTATGATTGTGAAGGACTACATATTCAGACTCGGTCAATTTCAGGAAAACCTGGTGCAGGTGGCATGACAGGCAAGTTAACATATTAATACTATTGTTGTAGTTAGTGTTACTTCTAACTCTCACTCATAACGGTTTTTACATACATGTTGGTAATGGTTATGTTTAACTTGATATTGATGTATTTTGAGCAAATAAATTAGTATGTTGTGATTGAGTACATGTCCGTAATCTTAAACTTTAATGCTGCTGATGTTCCATTTGCTTTTCACATCATTGGTGTTAGTATTGAACTTGGTTGTGTTAGGTGTGTTTGCATATTAATAGTTTTGATGTTTAATTTTTGCTGCTGGTGTAATGTGTTTACATACAGTGTGTGGCATTGTTGCTCATGTTTGATTCTACTAATGTGCCAGTTGTGTGTGTGTATATGTATATGATGTTTGTTTTTAATTCAGCCATGTTACCATTTGTATAACAAATTTTTTAAAATCCATTTATTTCAACTATTAATGGTGAAAAAATATAGTAACATGTTTTGATAGAGTAATTCTTGTTTTTCTGACATACTTGGCTTCAGGTGCTGGAGCAACCTGGAAAACATTTGCTCAAGCAAAGGCAGAAATGCTGGGTGCTGGAGAAAAGCCAGACTATTACACAGCTAAAGCTTCTGTTGTGATGATTCGGAAGGAAAACTGCATGTACAGGGTGAGTAATTAGAAATTTTGTGTTGAAGGAAGCCTATAACTGGTTAGACTTTCTTCATAGTCAAAGTTTAAAATTATTTTTTGAATACTTTCTCTCTGCTACACACTAGTTTTGAATTAAAAAAGCATTTCAGTTGGTTTTAATATTTTAACACCAGATGTCTCAGTATCAAATGTAATCGTAATATAGAATGACTATTTGAACTTGTAAGAGTGTTGATTATGTTGTATTGTAATATGTACATAACTTGTCTTCATTGGATTAACAAGACACAAAAAGTGAAAGCTACATATATTTTGTTCTTTGTTGTGTTCATTAGTCTTATTGACTTATGGTTTTGTTAATGGGCTTTTAACAAACAGTGATGATGCTCTGTTTTTCCATATACACCCCATTGTTTTCTAATGATATACTGAGAGAAATGTGTAATATAAATTATAGCGTGTATGTTTTGTGTTCAAATTGTCCATTTGGTCTGAGAGAGTGGTTTTTCCTTGTTGTCAGTGATGACACTGAAAAAAATTACTTGAGTAACACAATATGGGGGTTTAATGCTGAGCATAAAAAGATATCTGTTTTTTTTATGTCAGGGATCAGGAAGAACCCCCAAAACAAAGTTTAATAGGACTTAAACAGAGATAAGCTATATATTAGAGATGCTATCTTTATAATGTCCATTTCATAATAATAATATGAGGGAATCCTCAATAGCTGTGGCATTTGAAATTCTTTTAGGCAGGATTTGAGTAAATTAATCTATGAGACCTTGGGCATGGTCAAATACAATAATCGAAAGGGTTTGACATCCCAAGTCCAAAACTGTAATTAGAGCTCATATTGGTCAAGAGATGACGGAGCTATGATTTAAAAGTATGTACTTTCTAAGTGTATATATAGATTGTATATTTTGACCACTATATCTTGAGTGGAAATGAACTTTATTAAATGTGAATATGTTTAAAAGACTAACTTATGTTTTTGAACTTGTTTCAAAAGCTATCCATTATAATATACTGAACCCATACTGCCCTTAAGTTAACCTGGTGAAACGTTAGTGTAATTTCACTGCAGAAAGAAGAATGCTTAACATTTATGTGTATGTATATTCAAAACTGCTAAAACTGCAACACAACAAGCAGTATTGGAATTGAGACAGAATGCCATGGTGGGAGTGAAAATGTGAGCCAACTACGTTTTAGAAGGGATCAGGGGCAAACTCATTTTTAAATTGCTTTTATTATTTGCCGTGGCATAGAGGCTCATAGAATTATTAAAAATAAAGACTGAAGAAATGAGCTATGAAAGAATAATCCTTATGATAAAAGCTCAGTCGTCTATCATCACTTCATGCTATATAAATGAGGATTGTCTTAATTTATAGGCTTGTCCAAGAGAAGGGTGCCAGAAAAAGGTAATTGACATGAACAATGGCTTGTACCGATGTGAAAAATGCCAGTGTGAATATCCAAGCTACAAGTGGAGATTGCTGTTACAGGTAAGATAATATTGATAAAGGACAAGGTGGATTGTTATCCAGTCTTCATGTTGTACATCTAAGTTGGATTTTTGTTGTTCTTATTACTAGTCTGAATTAAGATTAAAAATACTTTTCTTCATCTCAAATTTTATTTGCATAATCTCTAAAACCTTCAGTTTTTTTTTTTAGGAAAACTTTATCTTACCTGTTATTTTCTCTACCCTAACTTCATATAAGGTTGATCAATTCGACTGACCTCATAACTACCAAAACCAAATTGAAGTAAATATAAATTACCCCATTTTTCTTTCTAGAATGACTTCAAATTATAACATGAAACTACATTTGTTTCTCCTAAATAGCTTTAAACTCATAACAGTATACATCTATTTATACTTAAATTTTATTGTTTTATTACCCTTTTAACCCTGTCTAATTACTATTCTAGCCATTATAAGTTGTATATCACTTGGCAAACATGCAGTTCATGTTATGCTATTGGATTACATTAAGCGCAAATATACCTCGTGAAATTTTTTATTATATTATTATTACTTATTTCACTAATCTAACCTTAACTAACATAACTTTCGTAATTGTACGTTTTAGTTACTTTTATAATAATAAAGAAAGAATACACATGAAAAACAAGAAAAAAAAATACTTACCTGGGTGTGTTTTTTTTTTCTATTGATGACACTTAACCCTACTTTTTTATACTAATGGTAGCACTACACTAAAGAATTTCTTATTTAATTCAATAATGTACGAAAGTACACAGAAAGTAATGGGCAAAAATCAAACATTCCATAATTATCTTCTTTTTTACTTTCTAACTATGTGACAAGAACCATTAGGAATTCACTTAAGCTTGTCAGTGTGTTTCCTGTGGGAATAAAGTTTGAACTGGGAGAGAAACTGACAGTTTTCTGTACAGAAAACAATATAATATGATATATCATTTGATACCTGAAAACCTTGGCTTTCTATTGGTTATAAATACTATAGTACTGAACATCAGAGAGAACTATTGGCAATTTCTGAAAGAAAGGAATTAACAGGTGGGCGTGGCATGAGGGGTCTAGTCTATTTCATGGCTCTGTAACCACATAAAATTGAATGCTTTGCCCTAGTGATGAAAATATAATAAATATGTTCATTTTTGTACTTCTTGGAGGGGTGGTTACAAATTTTAGAAAAGTGGGGGATGGTTAGAGAACAAATGTTACAATTCTCACACTAGGGGAAATTCTAGTTCTTTTTTTTAATATTGCCTTATAAAAGCAAAAACTTAAAACTTATACACTATTAAAATTTCAATTATTAGCTACATTTTATGCTATATTTATTGGTATATCATGAAAAGAAAGTAGTTTAATTAAATTTTGAATGTAACTCACTAAAGCCTCGTGATATGTGCAGAGAAAGATGTCCATGAAGAGAGAGGTTTAAACCACTATTATTTCTAATTAAGAAAATAAAATTTGTTTTTCCTAGAGATGCATTTTTGGAATTAATACAGTACAGTCTGTTTTAATCAGCTATTATTATGATTTAAATAAAAAGAATCTTCCAAGTGATAAGAAAATAAGTTAACGGTAGACTTATTTAACTCCTTTTCCCCCAAAACTTCATTTTGAACATAGTTTTTCATGTAGCTTTCTGTAAGGATAAGATGTGCAAGTATATTTATTCCTCCTGTAAATTTGCAGTTCAATATAGCAGATTTCTCAGAAAACCAGTGGGTGACTTGCTTTCAAGAAGGTGCTGAAACTATTTTGAAATCAACTGCTAATGACATGGGGCATCTCAAAGAAACTGTAAGTGATCATTAAAGTCTTAATATTATATTACCTACTCTTTTGTGTTGTTGTTCGTTGAATTTTGCTCAAAGCTACCTGGGGCTATCTTTGTGCCCCTCTTCTGTTGCTGGTCTTAATCATATTTTTTTCTAACTACGAACAGAATAATAGTTCACAGGTCTAGTTCATACATGAAGAAAGCAGTCCACAAGTAGAACAGAAAATATTTAATCATTAGTATACTTTTACCCATTCACGTTTTCTTGTGTATTGATGTCTAATATATGCATCATGTAACTGAATGTAATTTTATATTTTCCTGATAATCAGTTATTTCAAAATTTTGTTATTTAACAACCATCACAATTTTTGGAGATCATTTTAAGTTCTTAGTCATTAAATGACTAAGTTTCTAAACCACTGATATGCAGAATGTAATTTTAAATTGATTAACATTCTAAATTCATGTTTACAGTATTAATCCAGTAAACGTTGAAGGTGGCCGGGAGTATAAAGAAACTATCTCTGCTTGTAGCACTTTTTATAATAATTTGCATGATTAGAAATCTTAGTTCAATCAAATTTGATTTTTCAGAAAAAAGTTTTTAAGATCAAAATTGACCCATTAAAGAAAGAATGAATTTCTTTATGATCTTAAATTTGAATTAAGAATGAAGTTGATTTAGGCTATGTAATACAGACAAAGGGATATTTTCTTTGCAGTGAAAAAAAAAATCAGCTTATGTCACTAAAATCACATTTTATATTAAATGAACTTTCATCTACAAAGTTTCATCAGAATTGGTTCAGTCAGCTCTTCACAACAACAATCAGTGGGAGTATAAAGTTTTGTCATGACATAAAGAACTTATGAAACTAACTTGATTATGAACAAAAGACAGGATTATCTAATTATATTGTATACAATGGAATATCACAATTTTAAAATTTTAGCTTGTACTTGTGTTAACCTGAAAATGCTGGTTATTCAGCTCGCTTATAATACTTTGGATGTCTTTATTTTCATTTTGAATACCGTGTAGAGCATAAAAAAGTATTGAAATTAATATTTGTAGATAAAACATATAAAAATAAGCAGAAGGGTAACTGTGTGTGTGGAAACATCTTTTTAGTTAAGTGACCATCAGGGTGTTTGGCAGAAATGTCAACCAATAAGATTTTAATCTCATTATATAACTGCCTTTCTTATTCAATAATGAATGTTAAAAAATCTCTTTTATCAATAAAAAACTAAATTATGATAAAACTGGTAGCCAGGCAAACAGGACACCCTTATACTAGTAGCCCAAAAGCTTCTGTACATTCACTTGAAATGTCTTAAAAAATAATTCTTATATACACATTTCTTGCCAGATGGTGATGTATATAGCAAAACTACTAAACAAATACACGGGATCTTACTTAGCACTTCATGTATGTTTAAATGTTTCTTTGTAAATCACATGAAAGGCTGATTTCTCTTTTGAGGATACAGAGAATTGAAACTGTAACCTTTAATGTTTCAGAATGAGGACCAGTTTTCAGCAACTATTGATGATGCTAATTTCAGTACTTACATCTTCAGGCTAAGGACAAAGATGGAGTTGTACAATGTAAGTGTCTAGAACATAAACTAACTTTTTTTTTCCCCTTAAGTAATATCGATGTGGAATTCAAACTAGGGATAAAAATTGTGAGAGCAAGATTACTTCACTGTTTTAGCATAAAGTGAGATTTTATCTTGTTATTCTATTAGGAGGAAAGTCGTCTGAAGACAGTTGTTGTGTCGGTTGCACCTATAAATCCTACGGAATATGGAAAGAAACTTCTGACCGATATTCACCAGATGGAAAGTGTCTTGTGAAGGGAAAGTAACACGTTTTCTGAAAAAAATTGTTAATGTGATTACGAGATTATTATTTTGAAATGAAAAACATTTTTCTTTTCAAGTTCTTAGTGTTGCATTTCCAGGTTCCAAAAGCATATTCGATGGAATTCGATACAATGCTTCCAAATACTGTAAACTTAAGTTTTATTTCTACTAGTACATTAGTTTCAAACCAAGCTTTGTACAAATAAAAGAATTAAACCAAAAATTTATTAGCGTGACTGGTTTCCTAAATCTTCTATAAAGTCATCATCAATCTGAAAAAAAAAATTTGACTTGATATTAGAACTAAATGAAAGTTTGCTACAGTTAGTGCCACTTTAGACTGGAATAAGGACACTGATATCTACTTGTTGGAAATAAAATTAAATTATATGAATTTTGAGACATAAAATATGCTTATCTTATATTTTATTTCTTTATTGCTAATTAGAAAGTTCCATAGTGTGTGGGTCTATCCATCTATCATCAATATATTTCCATTGATACTTCTTTCTACCAATTGCACTAATCACCTTTAGTCTATAAATCATAAAAAGAACTGCAAACTATGACAAAGACTATCCTTTCAACACCTGGCTTTTGCCTATCGTATTTACTAAACCTAACAACCTGCTGTAGCTTTTAAGTCTCCAATAAAAGTCTTTCAGGGGTGAAAACTAAAATTCCCTACACCATTTTATTAACTACACAAATAGTTTATAATATGCTTTATCAAATCATATTTAAACATTGCATGTAGTTATTTTAATAATTGTTCAGGACCTTCGTAAAAGGTTGGAAAAGAAAATGCTGTAGTGATAAAATCACACAAAAAAGAATTATATTCTCAAGGGATGATAGGTTTATATATATTTGCTACAAAAATACTAAAATAATAAATTCTTACACACTTTTTTTAAAGCTTATAGCAGAAAAACTATTACAAAAAAAAAAAGGTTAAATATCTACATATGGATGACCAAACAAACTGTGTAAGGAAAACTTTTTGTATTGGCTTTAATGCAATAGCAATGTTAATGAAAATTTAAGCTTCTAAATATCTGTAATATGCATTTGGAATTATAAACTACGTTAAAAGTAAAGTTAAATTTTGAATATAATACTGGAAAAAAAACTTGATATTAATGAGCAACAATAGGATAGGGGGTAGATTGTAATTACAATTGTTGCTAAACTACATTATTTTGTTGTTTATCTCACAAAAGAGGATAACAATACCTAAGACTATCATTTTATCTGAATGATTCCTAAAAAAATAACTTCAAACTGAACACAATAGAAAATCTAGAGAGGTGTGTTGTGAAAGCATGTTGTAATAACTGGTACCAACCTCTGGCCACTTTTCAGTAATGATGTCAAAAAGGTCATCCTTTACATCTCCTTGAATCACAAGTTCATCTTCACCAGTTACGGAAGAGCCACAGGAAAACTTGTGGGCAAAAAATTTGGCAGCATCTTTCAGATCAATATCTGAAAAAAATATAAAAATAACTATAAACAATTTGTTCATTTTGAAGTTGTATAATTATGGTGTTATGAAATAATTAACAGACAAGTGAAAACAAGCATAAAATGTCTTAGTTACATATTATTTCTACCAAATGTGGTACGATGTAGAAGACCTTACCATTTTGTAGTTTAAATTTTCTCGGCATTCAAAACTACATCTGATAAATAAAAAAAAACAAACTTAAATTATAGATTTTCATCAGTAGTACTGAAGTCTGTATACAACGGTAATAAGTTATGCAATCTGTTTAAAACTTTGTGTTTATTATATAATATCTTATGCACATTCTACTTTTGTAATAATGCTTTAGTGTTTGTTGTATAAGTGCACTGGTAAAAGAATTTTACTTGCCAAATGTTTTTAGCCCTGAAACTACAGTAACTGATTTCTTCTTTCCACGAGGAGCACGTGATAAACAAATTCGCTTTTCTTTTTCAGTTTTCTTCTTTGTTTTCACCATACCTTTACCTCCTCGTTTTTGTCTCTTTTTTTCCTCTTCACCTGCTCCTTGCTGATCTACAAGCCAAGTTAATTGTAGGTATTATATATATCTAGATTGTTTATTACTCTTGTATCAGTAAAATCTCAAAAATCCTATTTTATCATCAGTGATTAATTAATACAAAATTATCAATTACCAGATATTTCTTGTTATTATACTGGACAAGTAAATTGCCAGAAAGCTCAAAAGTGATCATTTTTTTCATTCAGATTATTGATATTGCAGATATAGATTACTGACATCCATTCATTCACAAGTTCTAACTATATATTTCAAAACATGGAGAGACTAACCACTTGTTTTTTTTCTGGGGGGGGGGGGTCTTGATTATTTTGGTGCTTATTTTTGTACCAATTTATCAAGACCTCAAACATCTTACCTTTTTATCATCAAATGAGCATCATGAACTAAGATATTCTGTTATATTTATACATTCAGTAATCCACACTACTTCTTGAAACATGTACTACATACTGATTATTGGATTTTGTTTTTGTTATTCTCTATTTGAAATGAAGAATAAAGGAAAATACTGGTTTCTTGAAAGTTATTAATACTTAATGAGAATATGGTATTAATGAGCAATTTTTCTTTAATCAGTATTTTAATTTCTTATGTACCATGATTTCAACAAAATTCAGAGAAGTAATGAGAACCAGAAGTCAGTAATTTGTAGTGGAAAGATGCAAGAAACTGTCATAAGTTCCTGAAGTATTTATAAAATATATAATTTACCATGATTTCAATAATGCTTAGACTCAGCTACATAATTCACGTGCTTAGAGGAATCAAGGTAGACTCTGGCTTATGGTATCATTTAGCATTTCAGATGCTGACCTTAACAGTCATTGCTTTCAATCAACAACTCTGATTTGCTAGCAAGCATAAACTGTAAAAATTGAACTTTTCAATAAATTTCAATCAGGAGTATTGTCATTCATAATTTTTGAATCAGGCTATAGAATATTGTTCTGTTTTTTTCAAGGTATCTGTGAACAAGGGTAAGTCAGGTAATTTGAAAAGAGGTTAAGAAAGACATAGAAAATTATGCCTTCCCTTTCTCTTGGAACCTGCACTGGCACGTAACAATGCTGCTCAATTATGTCAATTATTGGTACATTTTAACACAATTTTGATAATTAACTAATTCATTATATTTGATAATATGTTACATCACATATTTTATAAATTAAAATGCAACATTTTTTTGGTCTCCTATCAAATTTCACTGCTTTGTTTGAAGATCTCATCCTGAAGTACCTAGTTTGAAATTTTTATTCCTCTTTATGTTCATATTACAAATTAAGGTACTGTTAATTAGGTAGAATTATGACTAAATGTCCAAATATCACTGTGTCTCATGCCCACTCTTGTTTCTTTTAACAGGCTTGCAGTTTTACTCCCTTGTCCTTATTTTCAAGGTACATGAACTGAGCCCTACTCAATGGCTGGCTAGTCCTTCCCTATTGCATCATGTTAAAAGAAAAAGAATATTCCTCAGTGAAGTCGCATCAGCAAACAACAAAATATACTTTTTAACTTTTACCAAAATATACAAATGACAAACAGAAGGAAGTGAAAACATGTAAAGAAATATTTTATTTAAAAGTAAAAGTGTGAAATTGTATAACTTGTAAAATGTGAATCAGAAGAAAATTTTGGCCCAGATCTACATGACTTAGACTTTTTAACCTAACCAAATTTCTGATCAGCAAATAACATTTTTTGATGGCAGACACCAGGCATATTATAATTTTGATTGACAAGTCTATTAAACAGCAACATCGGGAAAAAAAACTTTTTGAAAAATACCAAAAGTTTGGTATTGTATATTTCGTTTGTTCCAATTTGTTTCCTACTTTATCTATAAAACTTGTAAATCATGGCATTTCTGACTGGAAAAATTGTTCACAAATTTTGAAAAAGCATAAAACATCAGAAGCATTTACTTGCTCTGTTGAAATTGATGAATTTTGAAAAATGGCTTTTAAACACTAAAGTGATTGATAACCAGATACAATTGGAGTAACATGCTTGAAAGTTAGCACGGTATAAAATGACCTTGAGGCAGTGTTTTAATAGTCTTTTGTAAAGGAAAGTTCTTAGACTTGATCTATCTTATGGATAAATTTGATCCACTGACTGATACACAAACAACTTATGAGTGGAAAAAGCCAATAGTCATAAGCACAATTCAAAACAAGAAAAACTGGTTGATGGCTCACAAAACAATGGATAAAATTTTGGCTATTATTAAGTAAGAATGAATACAACTGCTAATATCAGCCATTAAATGCAGTTTTCAGTAACAAAATTAATTGTTGAAAGTGAAGGACTTCATGTTGAGTTTGGCAGACATTTCACTACCTTTTTGCCTGTTGTAAAGAACCGAAAGTTGATTAATGATTGCAGCAGGAAGGCTATGGTAATAGTAGTAATGTGAAGAGCTTGAATCAGGTGTTCAAGCAAAATGTGTTTTTTTCATGCTTTGTGCTTACCATAGCTTGAATCTACTGCTTAACAATGCTGCTGTTAATTCATGTTTTAATCTTTACTTCTACCCAATAGTAAGATACCTACAAAAATCACATGAAAGGCTTGACAGAGAAACTTACCAGAACCACGATGGGAACATAGAGTTCACAATATTGTAAAGCTTTTCCTTACTGAAGCATTAAAATCTATGATACATGCTTGTTGATGTTTCAGAAAATTGAATGATTCAAAAGCAAAAGCCTATAATAAAGCATTTTCTTTTCCCAGAAAAATCAAATATTTTAATTTTCTTGTTAAGTTGGTGATTCAGTATGAAATTCTACATGGTTACAAAATACTTAAAATTTAATTCAAGCAAGCAAATCATCTTTGAAGTTATAAAGGAAAACTGGTTTATAGTATTCAAAGAGTATGAAATAATCTTGATTCATTTTGAGCAATAAATGTTAACTTAAATAAGTAGTTACTGATCTAACTTTAGGTGCTAATGGTAACTAATTTCAGAGTTTAAAACGAGTAACTAAACTGTTAGAAACTAGAATTCAAATACAAAAGTAAAATGTTATTAAATTTTGTACACATTATTTATTATTCTTTTAGTTCAAAATTCCACTTCTCAAGCATGATGACTATTAATTGTACGGTAATTATAAACTTTCTACAATACAAACTAATTTTCCACCTGAAAGTACATTGCATTGAAAATTAATAAAGTTTAACATAATGAACTTAAGATTTTGAAATAATAACTAGCAACTAAATAAACTATGACTATATAAAACTAATGTTTAAGTTTATTTTATGATAATGTGATTCATAATTGTTTTAAATATCTCACCAAAACTATTTGTTTTTCAAAGTAGTATTTACCAACATTACAATGAAATTGAATAGAGTTGTTTAAACATTTGTTTAACAACAAGTAAATGCTTGGAATGGTCTATTCTTTCATTGGGCGTGTCTGTGAGCCAGACTAGTTTTGGAGAATTCCACTCCTCATCAGTGACCCTGGACACTACCACCAATGAAACTTCAGACCAAACCAAGCCTTTATAGTAGTGAGGTATTGAAAATTGAAATGGTATATTTAAGTGTTTTACACTCACAAAAAGGAAACCTATCATTCTATAGGTATTTGGAGTTCTTCAAATACCTATAGAATGATAGGTTTCT